AAAACAGTAGTGAAACGATCTCTGTCTGCTGCCGACGACAAGAGAGTAATCAACAATGACCGAATCAATACGATGCCCTATGGGCATTATAAACTTAGGACCATCGCGGAAGAACCTACCGCTGAGGAGGACAGCAATGAAAACAATGACAATGACATTATATGATTTAGCTCTTACGTCTACTTGTCTAGCTATAGATAGTACAAATAATATTGATAGTCTCGATGAATTAGAAATACTATCGATACTGCCAAATTCAATAAAACGCGATGTTTGTAAGAGACTCAAACACATTTGGATGTCCCAGAGATATTGTCTTCCATTTAGTCGCAGACAATTTCAATACCGATACTTGAATTTTAACCAACTAGACAAGTATGAGTTTCTTATGGTGACCCATCATCACAGTAGGGTTCACCCAGAGTTTTGGCCATCGTATTCAGATAAAGCCCATGTATATTTTGAATACTACGAGCTTGTTATAGGTAACAACAGTACGTACCGTTTATGCAAAGGGTGTTTTACAAAAACCTGTGAACCCTCTGATCCATTTGACGACTATGAAGAGCACTGGCAGTCCTTGAATTGGCGATTCTTTAGTACAGTACATCACTTTGGTGTCGATCCCAGTGGGTTCGTAAGAATTATTCTAAGGCAAGAAAGCAGTTGGTGCGATTTTTGCGTCCTATCACCGTTGTTCCAGTTGTACAGTTTGGATTCATGTACAGAACATACCCATGTACACGACTGGGACAACGACAGTGATAGTGACGAATCAATTGTCGACTCTTTCGAGCGAGTTGAAATTTACAGACCTTATTAGATTCATGTTCACGTTTGACACTCTGCGGATCGATGTTTGTCTTCTCCCAGGGTTTTAACTTTCTGTAATTTATTTTGTTTTCTAAGTATTTTTCTAAAGAATACAACGGATTAACTTGAATATTGTATGTTTTAAATGCTGAACTCTGTCAACTTTGTTTTTTTGTGTATATGTATAAAATATAACGGATTAACTAGAATATTTGAATTTTTTCATGTGCTTTGTGTAAACTATGATTATTTAGAGTCAAACATACTCCAGACTAGTGATTGTTTTGCGAATCTTTTCTTGTTCTTATTGTCTAGTATTTTTTATTGGATATCGTAACTATGTTTTAAATGTTGAACTTTTGATTTTGCTATACTGTATGTAAAAAAAAATTAAACGGATTAACTAGAATAACTTACTTTATATGTCTTGTGTTAACTATGGCTATTTAATATCAAAACATACTCCAGACTAGTGTTTTTTTTTTTGTAAATCTTTTAAAACTTTCTTGTTCTTATTATCTAGTGTTTTATTGAATATTGTAACTATGTTCTAAATGTTAAACTTTTGTTTTTGTCTACTTTGTTTTCTTTGTATACTGTATGTATAAAATGAAACAGAATAACTAGAACATTTATATTACTTCATGTGTTTAAACTATGGTTTTAGTGACAAACATACTCTATAATTGTGATCGTTCAGTCATTGTTTTTAAAATTTTTCTGTTTCATTATCTTGTGTTGAATATTACAACTGTATTTTAAATGTTGAACTGTTGATTCTGTCAACTGTATATAAACTATGTAAATATACATCTAAAATTTAATTTAACATTTCAAATAAAAAAAAAAAGAATATAATTCTCTTGTGTTTTAATACACCTTTCTTCGTTAGTTGGTCTTGACAGTACAACATATGCGTCTTGCGTGATTGTTACACACTTAAATAATAAGATCTTGATACCACTAGCTGAGTGTTCAAGTAAAGTGATAGAGCTTTGTCAATGAGTGATTTGCAATACCTCATGTCTTATAACCACTTGTATCCCTGACTCATCAAGTAAATTGACATCTATTATATTGTTGTTGTACCTTAGCTAAAGGTAAAGGAGATAAATAAAGAAACAAAAGTTTACAGTAAAAATATATATTACAATAAGATACATTCAATACAGCAATTTTGTATTTACCATTTTGACAAATACTTCATGTTCTCTAATACAGCCTCTATAATGTTTGCTACACAAAATCGTCGAACCTCACTATCAATCCACGGCAACATCGATGTTCTAAGTGCCGTCCGTTCATACCAAAAATCTTGAGACTCTGCAGGCAACCTTCTTTCATTCAAGTCAGAAAGTAATTGTGGCAAATCACTTGTAATGTGGCGAACGAGTTGTTTGTCCAATGACATTGAAGCCAAGTCATTTGTAGTGTTTGAAGAAAGTAGAGCCATTACCTTATAGTGTTTGGTAAAATACCGTGTGTAACGAGAGATCAGAAACTGCACAGTTGGGTTTATTTCAAGTAGGATATTAAAGTAGCTCTCAAGGGATGGGAACAAACGTTTGAAAGAGATCCATCCATCATTTTGAAGAACCACTCTGGGAGTCTGTCGAATGATGTCAGATTCATTTGAAGGTCTTGAAAGTGTAACAGAATTCAAATTGTGATTAACCGGTTTGTTTCTCAGACGATAGTTACAAAATGATACTAATCCATTTGGTCTTGGTTCCAATATGACTGTATGTAGATAGAACGGATTGAATGGGGTTTCATCGGAGTAAAACTTGTTGATAGAGTGGTGAACTGTAGAGCTTTGCAGACTCAAAAGATCTTCAAATGTCAATTCAATTGAGGTTTGATTATTTACCAAACAAATAGAAGGAGAAAAGTCTTTAATTGAATCAAGACCAACAGCAGCATGAGCTTGGTTTGCAACTTTATAAATCTGTCTAAGTAAAAGATGTGGTTCCCATGAGTTAGGCTGCTGATCAGAACGCACAGCTGCTTTGTGTGGCTGGTGTATACTATGAGAGTGACTCACCACAGATGTTGTCGGTGTTGACGAAGAAGACGTATATGACACTGGAGACGAAGTCGACGTAGAGGGTGGCAATGGAGATAACTTAGATGCTGATGTATTCTGTAATAGTTGTTGCGAACGTTGAGGTGGTGGCGGCGGCGGCGGTAGCAGCAGTTGTGGTGATGGCAAGGCATGTAGATTGTCTTGATGAGCTTTCTGGCGTAAACCCTGGCTCGACCTAGCGCGTGTAGCAGATTTTGTTGTTGACGAGTTGACTGGAGTTTTCTGATGCAGAATTGACGGTTGTTCCGGCCGGTATTCTTCCACTTCCTTTGAAACATAATTCTTGTCCTCTTCCACTGCGTTACCATTTTGACTGCAAACTGTTGAACACTCGCGGGTATAGTAATTTGCTTGGACCGCACCTGATGTCGTATGTCCGGAATCAGATTCGTCTTGTAGAGTCTCACCAGTTAAAGATGCAAGAAGCTGATCAATGTCCATAGTATTTACATCAGAGTATATAACATTATGCACTGGAGGAGGAGCTTTAGTACGTTTACGTTTCACTCGCGAAAGATCTTTACGCGGAACTGGTGCCGACCGTTTCACTGACGCTTCCATACTGACTAAACCAGCAAACCAGTTCTAGGTTTTATACGGAGTGCAGGTCTGGACAGGTACGATCATCGACCTTGCGAGGCAGATGGTGAGCGTCAAGGACAAATCCATTGAACTGAAAACAAGTCTAGACAGGTTGCGCGCACGGATATTTTAAGAGAGAGATAATTTTGGTGTCGTAAGTAATACAGTGAGCTTTGCATCAATATTTGTAAGCAATTTTAAAGTTTTGACATCTGATTCATCCAACGTGTTTATCCTTCTATCATAGGTTCCTAATAATTTTGATGTTTTCTCATCTGATTCTTGCAGTTTCTTTATCTCTTCTTCTAAAGATACCAACGATTCAGATGTTTTCCCATCTGATTCATGTAGCTTTTCGATTTTTCTATCTAAAGATACTAAATTTGCAGACGTTTTCTCATCCGAGTCTTGTAGTTTCCTGAGCTTATCATCCAAAGATACTAACGATGCAGAAGTTTTCTCGTCTGATTCGTGTAGCTTTTTGATTTTTTTATCCAAAGATATCAAACGTGTAGACGTTTTCTCATCTGAGTCTTTCAGCTTCTTGAGCTTATCATCCAAAGATACTAAAGATGTAGACGTTTTTTTATCCGAGTCTTGTAGCGTCTTGAGCTTATCATCTAACGCTGTAATTAATTTAGATGATTTCTTATCTGATTCTTGTAACTTGTTTAGTCTATCGTGATAGGATACCTGTTTTTCCTTTATGTCGCTTAGGTCGGTCTTAATAGTTTCCTCTATGGAGACTATTGATTTTTTTACATCCTTAACTGCTTGATGGAGCTCTTCGAGGCTAACAGCAAAGGTCTTTAACTTTTCTTCTACCTCATTTAAATCGTCTTTGTTTACATAGAAACGATTTAGATAACCTTTAGACACTTTTTGACGTGATACATCAGGATCCACTGCAGCTCTGAACCTCTTGGTTCCATCATCACTCAACACATACGCATCGTCGTCTTCATCATCAGATAAGTGACGCTTCTGTTCTTGATACAAAGAGTGTCCAAACTTGTCTATAACGTGTCTTCTAATCATAGCTTGTACAATATATGTTTATCATAACAATATCCAAACCAGAATGGTGAAACGAACATGATATTAGCCTATTTAAACCCACTAAGGGAAAACCAAGGCGTTTGACATAAATCTTGATCCCGTCAGACGTTCTAGTTAGTTTGTATAGCTCGTTTTTTACTATACCCAGGAGTTGAACCGAGATGGAAATCCCAACCATTTTACGTATATTTTGTTTCCTTTACGTCTGAGTACTTTTTCAATAAGAAATGTGTCAGGATAGTTAGTTTTTTGAAGTTCAGGCTCGTAAAATGCAC